TGGAGGGAGAGAGGATACCTGGCACAGGAGCAGGGAAGTGGAATGCATATTTGAGGAACGCCTAATGTATCTGCTTGGAACAAGTATATGGGTGTGTTAAGGAACAGAGAAAGGCTGGAAAGAGATAGGCTTGGGTCTGGGATGCCTATATGAGTAGTTTGGGTTTCTTTATGCACTAGTGGAGAAGTTTGCAACTTTGTAAACTTAGCATTGCAGTGCGGGATCTATTGAAGTTGAAGGAGCTTTTTTCAGAGTTGAATCTGGTGCTCTTGAGGCAGAGAAAGAAGTGGTGTAGCCTAAGGACATGTAGATTTGAGGAAGAAAGAACCAAAAGCAAAAACGGAATCCAAACTTACTTAAATCCTGGAAACTGAAAGACTCGTGGGGCAACTGAAAGAACTAAGAGAATTGGAAAGAAGTGGACTTGGGAATCTGGAAGAGGGGAAGAAAATGAGAGAATGTACTTGCTTTCAGACGCATCAGATTTGAGGTGTTGACAGTGCCCAGGTGGAATGCCAAATTACGGTTTAGAAGAACAATTTGGGCTGATGGTTCTGAACTTTTCAGGTGTGAGGATAGCTTTTTAAATAAGTAATAGCAAATATTCATGACTACTTTTAGTATTTGTTTTTTGAGAGTACATATAAAGACAAAACAAAACTTCAGTTACACTTTTAAGTGGGTTTTATTTTACTACATAACAGAAGTGTCTGTTTACCTTCATTTGCAAAGTAGACGTGTGTGAGAGGCATCATTTTCACTCGGCAGTCAGTGCTTTGTGTGCATTTGGATTTGGGAACACTTGGAGCCACTCCATGGCCCTGGTCCAAGCTACAAATACAGATTTGGAGGTCATCTGCCTATAGGAATAATTAAAGCCTGGAAATGGGTGAGATCATCAAAAGAAAATCATGGGCACACAATAGAAAAGAGCTGCAATATTAAAATTTGGAGAATTCTTAGAATATAATGAGAGAAAGAAGGAAAAACAAATAAGGCAGCATTACCAAAGTAAGGCGAAGAGCATCTCAAGGAGTGATACCATGTATCAGAGAGATTAATGAGAGAGAGGCCCAGAGTTTGGATAGAATGGTGAGCCCAGAAAACAAGCTGGCCTGAGTCAGGTTCGAAGGAATGGTTCTTCTTTTCCCTAGTGACAAAGGCCTCTGTCCTATCAAAAAATCCTCACATCCCAGCTTGGAGACTGTTAGGGAAATTTTGTTTTCCATAGCAAAATAGCAGTTGACCAGTACTTTGTGGGCCAGACTAGCTCCTTCCTTCACTTAGCACAGTTGGAATCTGGCAGGTGACTGATGCTACCCTGTAAGGAGCCAAAGTGAGTTTTTAGAAAAGTTTTGTAACAAATGATTACTGTGTAAAAGATCAGTGAATAACAACAACAAATGGTCTTAATGCATTGTTTAATTCCTCTTCCCCTGACATCATTGGGACTCTTTTCATTGGACTGAGCAGGGGGAGGAACATTTAAGCTAGTGGAAGTAGAAGTTTGCTGTACATTGGCAGCAAGGCCTCAGAGTTAACTTTTGAATGCAGTTAACTGGTTTCTCTTAACTGGAATTCGTTGAAAAATCAGACTCAGAGTGGTCGTTCCAGGATATCTTGAAAAGGTCAGGTAACAGTAGTTTTCAGCTGAGTAGATTTACAATACTATAAGCTACCTGTATGTAACATGTTAAGGACCCATTTTATATTTACTTCAGATTGGAGGGATACAGGTAGAAGCTTTCTTTTGACTTATTTGACCTTCATGTTGAAGCATTAATGGTTACAGATTTTGTGAAAACAGAAAATCTCTTAAAAGTTTTCTTTCAAATCACATCAAGTTAATGTATGAAGGGGTGGGTGTTTAAATTACCACAGCAGGCTTTGGAAGGAAACTGAAACATTCTCTTAAAGCAAAAGCTTAGTAGGAAAACTCCTTTCCCAGTAGTAAGTGTGGGCCTCTAGAAAGCCTCCAGGACCGAATCGGTTACTTAGTTATCTTGCATCTGTTATCTTGGCTTTGGAAATGTACACTTGGTCCTATCAGTCTTTATGGAGATATTATATTCATAACTACTTTCTTACCCATACAGAGGGCTTTCTCTTAAGAACTAGGGGGTTTCATTTTTTTTAAATCGGTAAAGATGAAAAAGGATAAAACTTGAAAATTGTTTTCTAAAATCATTGCCTTATCTCAGAAGAACAAAATATAAGCTTGGGTGTTTTTGTTCTTAAGTTTCTCTTTTTTTTTTTTTTGTATTTGTCTAACATAGATAGTTTTTTCTTATTGCTCATAAAAAGATTAAAAAGTATTTTTCCAGATTTCCTCATGTAATCTCTCCTCTATTCCATAATGTGAGAAGTACATATGGTGAGTTAATTGATCACCGTGTAAACCTTGCAAAGTTACAGTCCTCTTATTAAAAAAAAAAAAAAAAAAGACTGTGTGTGTACTACTGGGAAGCCCCATGTCTTGGAACTTCTGTGTCTTACACAGTCTGTTTTGATCATGTGTATGTATATTCACATTATACATGTCCTTTTTTTTTTTTTTTTTTTTTTTTTTGTATTCTTGCATCGAAAGCCTGTGAAGGAATTGCATGAGGTATATGATAGGAAAGTAAGTTTCCTTTCTTCCACTTCCAACACTTTATAGCAGGCCTTCTATTTGGTATAGTGTAGTTTAATATAGCCCTAAACTTGGGTCTGTAACTCCTGAAAGCTCTGTTGTTGTGAGTTAGTGCCCAGGTGGATGACAGACTCTCCCTGGAGTGGAAGGACACGCAGAGCCTCCTTTAGGTGATTTAGAAGATGCAAGAACGTTTTTTTATCAAGAGTACTGAGGTGGCATGAATGTGAAGGTTGACCTAAAGAATTACCTGGATTATCACAGGGTCTGTAGGAGTTTGTGGTGCCTGGAGGATTTATTAAGTAGGAATCTTGTGCAGTTTGTCAGATTTGCCTAATCATGGGAGTCTCCTGAGATGCATCTCAGGCACCTGGGAAACTGTATTTTTCAAAAGCACCCCAAGTGATTTCCTGGATGTTAGTAGAAGCTACTGGGCCCTAATTCAGCCTTTGTTGTCTTTTGGGAAGTCATCAGGTAACCTGGTTATGCCCATACTCGCCCTTGCAAAGAAAGAGACATAAAATTTGAGGAAGTCAAAACAGATTGTGGATGACACACAGGTTCCAGGAGATAGGGCTTCCAGTAGTCAGTGCTTAGAGTGGTAGGGACACCTATTCTCCTGGCTTGGAGTGGCTGAGACTAGAATTTTGTGTAGCATTCTGATTGGTGGCAAAAAACAAAAGTCCCAAGTTCGGTGACTTCTTGGCTTCCAGGGATGTCCCCATTAACTGTTACTGCATACTGTCAGAGTTGAGAGTGGGCCTTCCATTTTTCTCTGATGCACATGTTCTTTTAGCCTTCTGTTATTTTCTCCATAGAGGGCTACAGGGTACTTTTAATCCTAAGGGTGCGTTTGATTACAAGTTTATTTGTTTCTCTTAAATGGAAGTACTTGGCCAACTCCTCTTTGTATGTGGGAGGTCTCCAGGCAACTGTGAACAACTTTTAAAGGCTGCTAAGAGGTCAAGAAGTACTTTGCTGAGTCTTGTTCTGTCTCTTTAAAAACAGACTTCTTTGTCTTGCTTGAGCTCTAAAAGTATGTTTCGTCTTTGGCTCTGTCTTAGGCTTTCTGCTGCTGCTTTGGAGGGATCACCTACCCTCCTTATTTTATCCTACAGCCCTCTCCCTAATACATAGTTACATTCTAGTCTATTATTTTGCATGCAGGGCCGTTCTACATAAGCATTCGACCCTGTGCCATGTGGGAGTGCCATGTGTTTGAAAGGGAATCCCATCATCCTTATTTTTCTGTGTCCCTAATGCCTGTTAGATTTCTGAACTCTCAGATGTAATCTCATAGTCACCTGTAACTCTCCTTAAACCACAGAGTGCAAATAAACGGTAACTGTTTTCTTCATCAATAAATGTCAATAAAGGGAAACTTCCTTCCTCACTTAGATCTAAGTGATCACCAAGTCTTGTCACTTACTTGTTTGACTTTTCTCTACCTCTTCTTTCTTGATTCCTAAATATACCACCTTCTATTTCTCACCTCCAATTCATACTGAAAGCTATCTTCCTCTGCCTGCCAGACTCATCTTGCTCATTTTTTCTCTATAAAATGGGAATAACTGGCCGGGCGCGGTGGCTCAAGCCTGTAATCCCAGCACTTTGGGAGGCCGAGATGGGCAGATCACGAGGTCAGGAGATCGAGACCATCCTGGCGAACACAGTGAAACCCCGTCTCTACTAAAAAATACAAAAAAACTAGCCGGGTGAGGTGACGGGCGCCTGTAGTCCCAGCTACTCGGGAGGCTGAGGCAGGAGAATGGTGTAAACCCGGGAGGCGGAGCTTGCAGTGAGCTGAGATCCGGCCACTGCACTCCAGCCTGGGCGACAGAGCCAGACTCCATCTCAAAAAAAAAATAAAAATAAAAATAAAAAAATAAAGTGGGAATAACTGTACCTGTGTCACAGGGCCCTTGTGAGAATTAAGACGTGTAATGTAAAGTGTTTATTGTATTGCTTGGCGCAAAATAAGTATTCAGCAAATGGTAGCATCCTCTGCTTCTTACCTCCTGCTAAATTTGATTGTCTTTCACTCCACCTGCGTCCATACCTTGGCAGTAGCAAAGTATGTAGCCAAAAATACGGGACATGGAACCCTTGGTTTGAGCCTTGGTTTGAACCTCCAGATTCCCGCTTACCAGTTATTCTCTTTTGGGAAAATAAGTCAGTTTAGTTACTGACCTATAAGATTGTTAGGAGTGCAGAACGAGATAAAGTATGTAGAGAGAATGCTGCCTTCACAGGCAGTCACGATGCAGATGCTTCTTGTTTTTGTTCTTAAAACCTGTAGTCTAACCTATTTGGTGTAAGAAGTTTGAAGCAAGTATGATGAGTTTTTACTTTTTTTTTTTTTTGGCAGGTTAAACCCATCCAGAGTAATGGCTGCGGCCTTACCCAGGACCCTGGGGGAGTTGCAGCTGTATAGAATATTACAAAAAGCCAATCTACTTTCTTATTTCGATGCCTTTATCCAACAAGGTGGTGATGATGTCCAGCAACTCTGTGAAGCAGGAGAAGAGGAGTTTTTGGAAATCATGGCACTCGTGGGCATGGCTAGCAAGCCCCTTCATGTTAGAAGGCTGCAGAAGGCTTTGAGAGACTGGGTCACAAACCCTGGGCTTTTCAATCAGCCGCTGACTTCCCTTCCTGTCAGTAGCATACCCATCTATAAATTACCAGAGGGATCACCGACATGGCTGGGAATATCCTGCAGTAGTTATGAAAGGAGTAGCAATGCCCGGGAACCTCATTTAAAAATCCCCAAATGTGCTGCTACCACCTGTGTGCAGAGCTTGGGACAGGGGAAGTCAGATGTGGTCGGGAGCCTAGCACTGCAGAGTGTTGGTGAGTCCAGACTCTGGCAAGGGCACCATGCCACCGAGAGCGAGCACAGCCTCTCCCCGGCAGACCTGGGCTCCCCCGCGTCCCCAAAGGAGAGCAGCGAGGCGCTGGATGCTGCCGCTGCGCTCTCTGTGGCCGAGTGTGTGGAGCGGATGGCCCCCACACTGCCGAAAAGTGACTTGAATGAAGTGAAAGAGCTGCTAAAAACCAACAAGAAGTTGGCCAAAATGATAGGTCACATCTTTGAGATGAACGATGATGATCCACACAAAGAGGAGGAAATTCGGAAATACAGTGCAATATACGGCAGATTTGACTCAAAGAGGAAGGATGGGAAACATCTCACGCTCCATGAGGTACAAAGCCCGCGTTGTTCTTTCTCTGTGTGTGTGGCATGTTGCTAGTCGTTAGAGATAAATTTGGTAATAGTTTGCCGCAAATGTGATACACTCCCTGAAAGCAGTATTAAAAACACTGAGGTGTTAGCAACACGTAGCTCTTTTGTGAAAATAGACCATGTTTATTGTGTTAGGGGTATATTTGTATTGAACTTGAACATGTTTGAGCTTTGGAACTACAGTATGAGGTGACTTTTAGAAAAATGTCAGAATTTAAGCAGTGAAAGCATAAAGTCTTTGCAATTGAAAGGCAGTTTGTTTTTTAATTAAGAAAACTAGGTTTTAAATATAACTTTTAAAAAACATTTTTGTAGGCTTTTTTTAAAGAAAATAATTTTGTAAAAATAGCGAGAACTTAAAGCAATTCTCAGCTTGCATAGAAAACAATTTGATGAATGTTGGAAGAATTCTTGCTTTGAACATCGTTTTGGTTTGATGTTTGGCATTAAACATTTTTATCTTTATAGTAAGTACTGTAGACAGTCTGCTTAAGTTCATGTGTGTATATATGTGTGTATAGACACAACATTTTCTCCATATAACATACATACTTTATGTGTGTGTATAAACTTTAACATTTACTCCTTTTCTTCTCGTCTATCTGGTCGACACATCATCTTTAAAACTCAGCCCAGAATAAGCTTAAGTGTTTTTTGTTATCTTTTCCTTCAGATAGAATGACCTTTCCTTTCCATTTTTATCCCTACATATACTTCTGTCACAATAACTTCAACTTCTTATTGTACTTATTTGTGTATTGGTCTGTGCTTCACAGTATACTCTGGGTTTCTTCAAGGCAGAGATAATGTCTCCTTCATCTTTATATTCACAGAGTCTACACAATAAGTGCTTGGAAAATAAATGTGTTTTCAAAAATTAAAAAGACTATTTCATAGCTAATTTTTTTTTTTTTTTGAGATGGAGATCTCGCTCCGTCACCCAGGCTGGAGTGTAGTGAGTGCAGCCTTGACCTCCAGGGCTCAAGCAGTCCTCCCTGCTCAGCCTCTTGAGTAGCTTCAACAACAGGTGTGTGCCACCACACCCAGTTAATTTTTTTTTTTAAGTTTTTTATAGAGATGGGAGTCTCTCCATGTTGCCCAGGCTGGTCTCAGACTCCTGGGCTCAAGTGATATGACTGCCTTGGCCTCCCAAAGTGCTGGAATTACAGGTATGAGCCACTGTACCTAGCCTGATCTTTTTAAATAAATGATTTTAGACGTGAATGTTGGAGCTTGAGATCAGATAATTGGTTAGCAGAATGACTTAAGTCATAGCCAGTCTGTGACTTGATCTATTTTGGGAGTATCCTTTGAACCAGTAGAGAATCCACTAAAAGGGCTATATGGCTGTCATTAGTAGAAAAACAAAAGGCAAAATGTGTTGGCAATTTTAGTTTCATGCTGTAATCTAGTTTTCTTATAATTTTTAAAACATAGCAGATGAAACTCAACAAAGTTGAGTCAAAATACCTGTATTTTTATCAAAATAAAAGTATTTCTAAAAGATTAACAAACCTAGTTAACCTGAGTTTAAAAAAATCACACCCTACTTTTAAAAAATCTAAAAAGAATTATTTTACACTTAGCTTTCGCTAACGGGCTCTTTGCCTCTTTAGATAAGTAGGTACACATGGTATTTAAGTAATGAGACCGTGGGTTTCCCAAAATAAGGAAATACTCAAAATGAATGCCAGTAGGCTGAAATGTGGGGGTGGGGGCTTTGGAAGTTGTGGCTTGTGTTTTTGAAACTTAACTTAGGCCTGCTTGTTACTTGTAACTCCAGTATGTGAATCTGGTTCAGTAATATAGTTTAGAATAAATGTTTGTGAATCAGGAAGCTTTCTTAAAACTAGTAAATATCTAAGATCTTGAAAGAAATGACAGAATCCTGAGGGAATTGAAAGAAGGTACTATTAGGTATATCTTTTAGGTATTATGAGAATTTTGCTTTTTTTCTCCTGATTATTTACAATTAGCAGAAGTTTTTTTAGTTCTAAGTTCCTGAGATTAAAGAATGTTGCTAGTTTGTACTCAATTTCCACATAAGGAATATATGACTTATTCTTAATTCATTGTTGGCTTCATCTCACTGTTCTGAGAGTTTTCTTCATATAAATTGTGTGGATACTGTTCTTTTAATCTTGCAAGACATAGAGCTATATGTAGGTCACTAGTGGATGAAATTCAGGAAGCTATCTATACCTGTAAGTTTTTTTCAACTGTTCAGTACATAAGATTATTTTTCTTGTAATAAGAAAAAAATATTTGTTTATATATTTATAATATAACTTGTTTCCAAATGTACACCATAAAGAATTATAGAATGACTTATTGTTAAGCCCCCCCCTTTTTTTTAAGCTAAAGAATCAGTGATAGTCCTACAACCTGGCTAAGTCCGGTCTGTTATATAGGTGTCAGATTGTGAAGAGAGTGAGTTCTGAGGCTTAGAATCACTCACGTTGCTGGTGTTCGGGAGGTGCTAAGGGACAAACCCAGAAGCAATATCAGAAAAAAGCCAGCAGGCAGCGTTGCATCTATCATAAAGGGTGTTAACAGATAGTAGGTGGTAAACTAGGCAAGCAGTGTGCCCCCAATCTTAAATCGGTGAATGGATGAGGAGAGAGCAACTAAAACTTGGGAACAGCAAGGCAATAGAGAATGTAGTAACTTGTAATACTCAGAAATGTAAGCAGGTAGATAATTTGGCATTACAGAATATTTGTCAGCAGATAGCAGCTTCTAGTCAAAGAGCTCTAGAAAGATAGGAAGGAGAAGAGGAGAATGTAGTCAGCGGGTAACTGTAGACTGAGCAGAAGAAATTCTGCAGTCATTGGGGTGCTAAGCAGGTTACCAAGATAAGGACCCAGGCCTATAGAATAAACAGTGATGCCAAGCTTTGGTCAGTTTCCATTGTAGTGCTGAGAAGTCAAGGCTGAGTGTGTCAGAGGAGGCCAGCAATTTCACCTTTGAGAGAGGAGGAATGCTGAATCTGAGAACAGCATATACTTGGACACATTATTAAGTTAGCTTGTTTTATTCTGAACTCTCAATCTCAGAATTCATAGATTTCAGCATCTAACAATTGAAATGTTGGACTTTTCCTTCTGGTGATTTTTAAAAACGAATTATGGTAGTGTATTTCTTGAGTCAGTTTTGGTAAGTTACATTTTTCTAAGAATGTCCATTTCATCTAAGTTTTCAAACTTAGTGGCATAAAATTATTTATAGTTTTTTAAGACCTAATATTGACCTAATATTGGTTGTACACTTATCTCTCCTTTGCCCCAAACAACCTTGCCAAAGGTTTGCCAATTTTATTCTTTTTCAGAGATCTGCAAACTAGAGTCTGTGTGCCCAGTCTCACTCACCTCCTGTTTTTATAAATAAACTTTTATTGGCACACAGCTGGGCCTATTTATTTATGTACTGTTTGTGGCTGGTTTTGAGCTACAATGGTGAGTTAAGTAGTTGTGACACAGGCTGTTTGACCCGTAAAGCCTGAAATATTTACTCTCTGGCCTTTTACAGAAAAACTTGCCCACCTCTGATCTTTTTGAAGAAGCCGCTGTGGGCTTAGTTGCTATTCTTGCTTGTGCTGTGTGCATGTATATATGTGTCTCCTCTTAGTTATTTTATTGTTCTTATCTAACTTAATTTGGGTGCTTAGTTCATTAATTTTTAGTCATTCTTTTTCTAATATGAGCAATTAAAGTATAAATTTTCACTATGTATTGATTCAGTGTTATTCCCAAAGTTTTGTTATGAGGTTATTATTTTTCTATTTTACTTTTATGATTTATTTTCTGACCATGAGTTATTTAAAAGTGTTTCTTTATTTCCAAATATGAGTAATTTTTTTCCTTAATTATTTTTCCTAATGATTTCTGACTTAATTACATTGAGGGCAAGAGTACATGGTTTGTGTGATGCCAACCCTTTAAAATTTGTTGAGAGTTTAGTTATGGTTCACTCTGTGGTCTGTGTTTTTTACGTTTGGAAATGGTATCTTAAGCGGTTGTTAGTAGAGTGTTCTGTATGTGTCTGTTCTGACAAGCTTACTAACTCTGTTCTTCAAATCTTAGGTTCTTAACTATTTTGTCTGCTTGCTCTGTCAGTAAAAAAAGAGTTGTGTGCTAAACTTTTACTGTGATTGTAGCGTCTGTTTCTCTTTGTATCATGCAGTAATCTTATCTTTAATAATGAATTTTGCTTTAAAAAGCTGTTTTCTTTAATGTTGATATAAATACATGAGTTCTCTTTTTGTTAGTCATTGCCTATTATTGCCTATTACGTCTTTACATCTCTTTTTTTTTTTTTTTTTTTTTTTTGGAGACAGGATTCACTTTGTCACCCAAGCTGGAATGCAGTGGTGAGATCACAGCTCACTGTATCCTCGACCTCCCAGGCTTAGGTGATTCTCCCACTCAGCCTCCTGGGTAGCTGGGACCACAGGCATGTGCCACCACACCTAGCTAATTCCTCCCTCCCTCCCTCCCTCTCTCTCTCTTTCTCTCTCTCTCTCTCTCTCCCCCCCTTCTTTCTCTCTCTCTCTTTCTCTCTCTCTCTCTCCCCTTCTCTCTCTCTCTCTCTCTCTCTCTCCCCTTCTCTCTCTCTCTCTCTGTTTCTCTCTTCCTCTCTTCTCTCATTCTCTCTTTCTTTCTTTGTCTCTCTTTTTGTAGGGACGGGGTTTCCGTGTTGCCTAGGCTGTTCTCGAACTCCTGGGCTCAAGCGATCTATCTGCTTCAGCCTCCCAAAGTGTTGGGATTACAGGCGTGAGCCACCACACCTGGCCTACTGCTTATTATATCTTTATGTCATCCTTTTATTTTCAGCCTTTCTAATCCATGTTTTATATATATCTTTTATAAATACTAATCAGTTGGATTTTAAAGAACCCAGTCAGACGTTCTTTGTTTTTTAACTGGAACATGTGGTCCATTTACATTTATTATATGACTAATATTTTGGATTTTTTCCCATTATTTTATTTGTATCTCCCCTCTAGCCCTGATATACTTTAGTTTTTTTTCTGAGAGGGGCCAGTAATGGTACCCTAGCCTTCCCAGTGCTGGAAATGAAAGTCCTGATTGCCTTTTGAGCCTCCCTAACACACAGTTGTTCACAGTGTTTTTGTGCCAACAGTACTTAAAGTCACAATCATTTAATTGTTGGAGATTATAATTTTAACAACCTGTAAAGAAAGTTTTTTTAGGAATCAGTAAATCACTCTTTTTAAGGATAAAGATAACTGTAGTGAGTCCACTTTTTAAGTCCAGTTATAAAAGATAGAAAGCTAACTTTAAGAGGCCGTGCGTGGTGGGTCACACCTGTAATCCCGGCACTTTGGGAAGCCAAGGTGGGCGAATTGCTTGAGTCAGGAGTTCGAGACCAGCCTGGCCAACATGATGTAACCCCGTCTATACTAAAAGTACAAAAAAATTATCCGGGCATGGTGGTGCATGCCTGTAGTCCCAGCAATTTGGGAGGCTGAGACAGGAGAATCGCTTGAACCCGGGAGACTGAGTCCGCGCCACTGCATTCCAGCCTGGGTGACAGAGTGAGACTCCATCTCAAAAACAAAAAGGAAGCAAACTTTGAGAAATCTTTCACATAAAGAAATGAGTGGAATTTTGGTATTTTGGGCCACAAAAAGAGGAAATGGAGGAAATAAGTAAACCAGTAAGGGAGAATATCTTGTTACTTTATCCTTTAAACAAAATTAGATTATTGGCATTCAGAAAAAGCTAACAGTGCTGCAGCAAGTGACGAGTTGTTTGGGAATATTTTCATTTTTCTTTTGTAATTATATCATAATCGTTATTGATTTCATTATTAGCAACTAGGGAGCATGAAATCTAGGTAACACTGACAGAACACATGTTTTTAAGGGAGAGTTATTGATTTGTTCATTATTAGCAACTAGGGAGCATGAAATCTGGGTAACACTGACAGAACACATGTTTTTAAGGGAGAGGCTTCATGAATCAGCTTTTTATTACAACTCGGGGGTGAGCTAGAGTTATTTCTCCAGCCTCAGTTTTTTACCAGGTTCCCTGAGGGCCTGGAGTTTAGTCTACTTTTTTGGTTTGTGGGAGCCTGAATTCAGTGACAATGAATGCATTGTGTTTATTTTTCTTGGTTTCTGGAAAGGTAATAGAAGGAATACTAGAATATTGTTTTCAATTTGTGTTGAAAAGTTACTTTCTGTGGTTGTGCATAAGCTAGTACCTCTGAAACATTGTCAGTTAAAACACCTTACTGAAAATCAAGCGTTTCCTTAGTAATGTAGATTTATTAATATGAAAAAGAAATCGCTACATAAAAAGGTATTTGAGAATCCTCTTCAAGGTCATTTAGCTACTGCCATGCTGAAACTGAAGTTGATTTGTTTTGAAAATCATTATTTAAAGTATACATTTCACTTTTAACTCCAATAACATTGTGCCTTTCAAAGGCACTTAGGGGAGGAATTTATCTATTGATGACTCTTTAGGAGGAGGGGAGAAGGCTGAAAATAAATTCTTCCTTCAATTATGCTTTCATATTCAGCTATGGGTTTAAAATAGGAAACTTGGGTTTATTATTATAACTTGCTGTCTGTGGCCAAATTAATTGTTTCAGAACAATATAAATTACAGTTATAAATGTGGGGAGGAGGATGTTAGATGTCTACGTCATACCATATACCATAACACATTCTAGATGGTTTAAATACTTAGGTGGGAAAAGTAAAATGATTAGACTAAATTATGGAACATTTATATATTATTAGAGTAGAAAGAGTTTTTCTGTGCCTGTCACCCACAGCATAGAAACTGTATGGCTGATGACAAACTTTAAAAAAAAAAATCCCATTACATATGATGAAGAGTTGACGCTGTTAATAAAGAATTCCTGAAGTTCTAAGAGAACAAAACATTGTAATGAGTCAAAGATGTAAGAAAAAACTTTAGTTTCATAGTCAAAGAGATGCAAATTATAACCAAATGCTGTTTTAGAAATGTAAAATTGGTAAAGTTTTAAAAAGATAATAACTAGTGTTGGTCAAGATTGTAGGAAATGTACTCATCATATAATCATTGTAACAGCATTATGATTTAGAGCAACTTCTCTGAGGGTAGTTTGGTGGAATGTATAAATTTCTTAAAATTTAGTATACCCTGTGACCTAACAGGTCTATTTGTAGGAATGTATTGCAAAGAAATAGTTGGATATGTGTGCAAAGGTGCACATTTAAGAATCTCTTATGCAGCTTTTTTAAAAATAGTACATGGAAAACTGGAGGTAGTTCGATGTCCAGGGCGATGGTAGTTTAAATAATATATTGCTGTTTTCTACAATGGAATATTGTATGTGTGGGTAGTAAAAGTGATATTATAAAGGATTTTTCAATTCATTCATCAGTCAACAGATTTATATTGAACTTCCAACCCATGCCAGATGCTAATGTAAACAAGCCGTGTCTCTGCCTTAATACATTGGTAGAAATAAAAAATATACTGAAAAAAGTAGATTACAAATTTGTATGTACATATATATTTAATGTTTATAAGTACACTGAAATATTGGAATAATGTATATTAGAATATCGTCATTCTGGATGGAACGATTGCATGCTATTTATTTTTGTTTTCAAAAATTTTAAGTAAGAAAAATTATTCTAAATAAAGATGAGATGCCTGGGTAGGGAGAAAGGGTGACTACAGTAGTCCCCTCTTATCTGTGAGGGACACATTCCAAGACCCCCAGCTGGATGCCTGAAACTGCAAATGGTACCAAACCCTTATATACATTGTTCGTCCCTATACATGCATACCTATGATAAAATTTAACTTATAAATTAGACACAGCAAGAGATTAACAACAATAACTGTTAATAATAATAAAGTAGGACAATTAGAACAATATGCCAGCATTACTGCTCTTGCACTTTGGGGCCACTGTTGAGTAAAATAAGGATAACTGGAACATGAGCACTGAGATATCAAAAGAGTCCATCTGATGACTGAGATGGCCACCAAGTGACTGACGGCCAGGAGTGTAGACAGTGTAGATGTACTAGACAAAGGGATGATTCATCACTCGGACGAGACAGAGTGAGATGGCACACAGTTTAAAACTTACGAATTGTTTATTTGTATAATTTTTCATTTAATATTTTTGGGTCACAGTTGACCACAGGTAACTGAAACCTCAGACAGCAAAACTGTGGGTAAGGGGGTACTGCTGTACCTGATTTCTTATGAAACGGAAACAAGAACTAACACTAACCACAACCTTGTGCCAGGTGTGTCTCCTCATCTATTCTTGTTAGAGCCTTTTGGGATAGTGATATTATCCCATTTTGCCTCTCAGGATACCAAATACCAAGCCTCTCAAAAGTTTTGCATGTCCAGAGTCATAGCTGGTAAATGATGGAGCAGGACTCTTCTCAGGTCTGTCTGCCATCACGTCCCATTTTCTTTTTGCTAATCATCGTGCCTTGGTTAAGTTCATCTTTTGCATATTAAAAAAATTTGATATACATCTTGACAATTTCCTGTATCTATTTATACTGACAAAATTATGTGAAAATTTTTCAACTTTGTTAAACAATTAAGATTTTGTGTTTATGATAACAGAATTTTAGTACAAAGTGTTTGGTCAACTAGCAACTCTATATTGGCAATATTTAATAATTATTGAATTATGAAAGCGTGGTAGAATTAGATGGATCTTAGAGATTAGTCCAAGACCTTGATTTTCCAATATAGCCCTAGTACGTGATAACTCTATTTTTTACTAAGTGATTTGATAAATGTTTAAAATCATATGGTCTTGATTCCTTTTTAAGAATTTTCATGTCAGTTCTTAAAAAATCTGTCAGACTATCTACATTGATTTTTGGTTAGAGAAGTGGTGTCAGCAAATCCTGTATTCTGATATTTTGGTTTTTTTATAAGCAAGATGCAGAATGTTTTTCACTTTTTATTTTCCTTGTTGTCTATAAACTCTCCTACCTAACCAAAAAAAGCATATAAATAAATAAAATGAAGATGACTATCATGATTAATTTGGGCTCTGTGAGATGGCAGATTGGTTGATTTTCTTCAGAAATTTGGCATTAGGAATAATTAGGAATAAATACTATTCTGATTTTTATGAATTATGATTTCATTATATAATGGTGTGACATTCTTATATTTTAAGTGAAATCTTTTGCATTTTGATGAAATTAAAATGTTCTTAATTTTGAAACTCTGTTTTGGATGTCCAGCTCACTGTTAATGAAGCAGCTGCTCAACTCTGTGTGAAGGATAATGCCCTGCTGACAAGAAGAGATGAGCTTTTTGCCTTGGCTCGGCAGATTTCTCGAGAAGTCACCTATAAATATACTTACAGAACCACCAAGTAAGTATTTAACTAACTGTCAATATTTTTCCGTTGCTTGATAGAAGTAGAGTTTGAAACACTTGTTGATAGAATAAGCATTTCTGAAAAAGTAGAAGTATGATTATTGTTCTAGGAAACTAAACGATGCGGTGACTTTTGAAAACATTGCTAAGGTGATTTTTGTTGTTTAATCCTCCTCTTTCTCTTTTAAAAGGCATCATTCTCTGGGTTACTATAGCATTGTTCTGGTAGTGGTTTTAGACATTCGTCTCACACACACACACACTTTGGTTTTGAGCGTGATGAGGGGATTTAGTCAGCATTATAGATGTATTTGTACGCCTGCTAACTACATGAACTTGTTGAACTCTGAGGAAATAGAATGGTCCTTTTTGCAAGGTGTTTGCAATCTGATGAGATTAGCTGAACATGTAAAACTACTCTATTGACTAATATCAAGGGAAAATTGAAAGATACTTCTATTACTAGCAAATGGGTTATGGAACACAAGTTTGAAATTTAAAAAACGTGATGTTAGAAAGCAATGGTGGTTTCAAAATTTAATGTAAACACAGCATATTTTTCTTCACCTTATCCTTACTTGAGCCATAAGCATTTTCTACAGGATAGGACCATTTGATTTTGTTCACTTGATTCCACACAGACCCCGATTTCCAGCCCACATTGTGTTGTGCCTGCCACTGCCTCTCTGGATGCAGATGACCACTGCATTAGAGTAACTCTAAGTTTTTGTTGAAAAGTCACATTCTGAGCACCCTCTCCAGCCCTAATAAATCACATTCTTTGGGGATGGATCCCTGGAATCTGAACTTTCACAAGCATCCCAGAGCATTCTTGTGCATCCTAAGTTTGAAAACCAGCACTATAGGCATTTGCCATCATTACCATTATTTTTCCTAACTCACAGCAGTTTTATTTTCTGCCCTACGTCAGTATCTACGTATTTATAACTGACAAGTGAAATCATGTAGACTAAATGAACAGGGTAGGAATATACAGCACATTCTATGGGATTATTTATGAGGTTTTTTTTTTTGGAGTTGGATAATCAAGAGCTGATTCACTGATTTTTAATTTTCTTCATTGTATTATACACCATTTTCTTTCTGAGTATTTAAATAATTTTCTTTAATCAAAGTGATACATGTCCACAATTTAAGAAGTCATACAATACGCAAGGCTTTCAGTGAAACTCGACGATTCCTGTGCTCTACCTTCTTGCTTCTCAGTTCCACGTTCCAGAGGCAACTGCCTTCAGTGATTTTTTAGCTGTTTCTTCTAGTAGTTACCTTCATCTTTCTTTTTTTTCCTTTTTCTTTATTTTTCTGAGATGGAGTCTTGCTCTGTTGCCAGGCTGGAGTGCAATAGCTCAATCTCAGCTCACTACAACCTCCACCTCCTGGGTTCAAGTGATTCTCTTGTCTCAGCCTCCCAGGTAGCTGGGACTACAGGTGTGCGCCACCATGCCCAGCTAATTTTTGTATTTTTAGTAGAGACGGGGTTTCACCGTGTTGGCCAGGATGGTCTCCATCTCTTGACCTTGTAATCCGCCCACCTCAGCCTCCCAAAGTGCTGGAATTACAGGCATGAGCCACCATGCCTGGCCTAATCTATCCTTTTAAAGTTAAATGTACTTTAAAATATATTAACACTTTTACATAATTTAGAAGCCACCTTGGACTCCTAAGGTGCCCTCATTATTTTTTACGACTGCATGGATGTGCCGTGATTCATTTAGCCCCACACCCTATTGATGGCTACTGGGGTGGTGTCTAGTCTTTCACTGTAAATAATACAATAAATAACATCATACATTGTATGTTTTGTTGATTCTGAGGTGTACTTTTTCACATTTTAACATCTTTTATATTGAAGTATAATGTAGTTGATGGCTTGTCGTAGTTTAATTAATTTCATAGTGGTACATGAAATAATTATGTGTCTTACCATTGATGGAACATCATTTTATATATGTGTAGGTACCTCTGGGATACGTTTTCCCAGCAGAGAAATTGCTGGGTCAGGGTAAATACATCTGTAGTTTCTGTAGATAGACAAAATGCATTTTAATCTCATGTAGCCATAAACATACATCTTAAATGGTCATTTTAGTGATTTTTATCCTAAATTATTCCTACTGAACCATAAAGGGATATCCTCCTTGATTTTTTTTTTTCATTATGTGATGATCATTAAATATTTATTAAGTGCTAGGTTGGGCACAGTGGCTCCTGCCTGTAATCCCAGCAATTTGGGAGGCTGAGGTGGGAGGATCATTTGAGCCTAGGACTTTGTGGCTAGTCTAGGTAACACAGCGAGACCCCGTCTTAAAAAAAAAAAAAAATTATTGAGTGGCTTTCATACCAAAGCCAGAGGTGGGGAGTTCTTAGGTAGTGGCCTTTTAAAATGTATAATTGTATCTGTACATTCCCCTAGTGTTAATTTGGAAATGATGAAAGATATTTTCTTCATTATTTTAATGTTCATTATGAATATGTCATTTCTGGTGTTGGAGTTTCAGGGTATATATTTTGGTGGAAGATTATAGGCTGAGATGCCTTTGGAATAAAATCTGTTACTTTCTCAAGTTTTTGGTTTTTTTCCTCTCCCCTTTCCCTTAGGTCAAAATGTGGAGAAAGAGATGAATTATCCCCAAAGAGAATTAAAGTGGAGGTATGGTCATATGTTACATTTTCTTATGCTAATAATGTTTGTTTTTGTTTTAAGATCAAGCAAAATCTTAACTAGCTCAGACAAAACAATAAAGATAGTCCCATAAACTGGTGAAAAATGGCTTTCAATCTTTAAAAAATATAGAATTTTGTAACTTTGAAATACAATATTTACAGTAATTTGAATTAGCAGACCAAGGAAAATTTTTTTAAACTTTTTTTTTCTTGTAGAGATGTGGTCTCGCTATGTTGCCCAGGCTGGTCCTGCACTCGAACTCCTGGGTTCAAGTGATCCTCCTTCCTTGGCCTCCAAAAGTTCTGGGATTACAGGTGTGAACCACCATGCCCAATCCAAGGAAATTCTTAAATTTGGTGACTAGTCCAGTCAGTTTATCAAAGGTTGATTTGTAGTTGGTGTTTCTTACAGATTTAAAACTTTACTGGTTAAACCATTCCTTTTATAGTCTTATTTACATCATTAGTCATCAAATACAGAGGAGCTAACTTTTCGTTTCTTTATATTAACTGTCTAAGGGAAATGATAATTTAGTAACTATAAATTACAGAGACTTTAACTAAAGCCTCTTTTAGAGGGTCACGGTTGAGCCTGCTCATTTGATTTTAGATTTGCAAGTGGTAAGATGGGAGTTAAGAAAAGCATACTTTTCTTAGGACTCTCAGAACTATAGAATGGTTTCAGAACTATTATTTCTTACAAATACTTTTTAAAAAGTCTAGGTCGCAGCAGAGTGGAAATCTGGTCAGGCGGCTCCTTTCTTTCTTTCTTTTTCTTTTAGGCAGGAGATGGAGATCAGTGTTCTCTTAACCATCCTGTTATTTAATTTCAAGTTAAAGCAAATGGCTTATATTTGACCACCCTAAATTTCTATAATCAGTTATATCTACAGAGTATCTATTTGTATGGCAGTAATCCTTTATTCATACCTAAGCCAGAGTTATCTTATAAAAACATAAATCCCTTTCTTTCTTAAATCTTTTCAGTGGCTTTCTACTGTACCTGGAATAAAATCTAAGCTTTTTTTTTTAAAAGGATCTAAGACCCCACATGCTCTGACTGCAGCTTGCATCTCCTACCTTGTCTGCTGCCACACTCTGCATTCTTACTGTGTTCCAGCCACACTGACTGACTTTCTGTTCCTGAACATGCCAAACTCATTTATGCCTCAACACTCACTATTTTCCCCCTACCTAGACTTCTATTTCTTTAGATGGCTTCAAGTTACAGCTGTGTTTCCCCTGACTTCCCTGCCTCTCTTTCTAAAGGGGCACCCTCTCCCCATAATCACACTCAGGCTTATTCTCCTGGTTTGTTTTCATAGCATTTGCCAGTATTTGAAACTATTAGATACTTGTTTTAAATTTATTATCAGTCTGCCCCATTGGATGAGAATAGATCTCTTATCTGTGAATCTGCTGCTGTATACTTAGAGTTTATAACTGTCTTGCACCTAATAGGCATTTAATAAAATCTATAGAATGAGTAATGAATGGCTGCAGATAAGCATCTTTGACTTAACACTTTATCCTAAAGCAGTGGCTCTCAAGGAAGAAAAGTATTTTGTCAAAAACAAAAAGCCACATTAAAAAAAGAAATGTGGGCTAGGTATGGTGGCTCACACCTATAATCCCAACACTTTAGGAGGCCAAGACAGAAGGATTGCTTGAGCTCAGGAGGTCGAGACCAGCCTGGGCAACATGGGGAGACCCCGTCTCTACCGAAAAAAAATAAAAAATAAACTACTTATGTTTGTAACCTACCTCACTGTTAGCTCTGGAGTAATGTTTAAGATGGTTAACTCAGAAAATGTTGAAATTATCTAAAAGGCTACATTGAAAGATGATATTGAGGTGTGTTATCTCTTGCTCCCCCCAGATAACAGGTTACAGAGGGTCCCTGTGGAGTTGGCTGTTAGTGACTCACTGCTACTTAAAGGGAAAGGCAGGTGAACATAGAAACCGCTAAGAAGGCATGTGCCATTGGAGGGTTGAGAGGAAAGAAAGCACAGAAACTACCCAGGGGCCAAAAAATTAGTCAGTTGCTAGGCTAGAAATACATCTATATCTGTTTTTCACTATTGGCCCTAAGTGTGATCATGATTCAGGCTGCTCACATTTAAGCCACACTTGTCTAGCTTTAGAGGTCACTATTCAATATTGAAATTTGTGATCATGAATCTCATGGACTGTTTGAGCTGCAGTTGTTTCTTGATGAGCTTTATTGGTAAGTCTTTCTGACCCTCTCAGAGGCCTTGTATTTCATTACAGTGCTTTCAGTTTCTTATTAGAAGCCCAGAGTATTGGGCTGTGACATTAGATGAGGCCTTTCTGTTCCTTTAAATATACTCCACTAGAGATACTTGAATTATAGTTCTATATGGTTAGTTTATTGGTTTACTGCAGATCACAAAGCCACTTGAACAGCTCTGGATTCAAAATTAAGATAATCAGTGTTTCTTTTTCCTGTGAATAGCTCTTCTAACCCTTCCTAAAGATGACAAGCGACAATCGGCCTCAGGCTTCTTTAAATGCCTTTATAGACACTAGACTCTTGATTTTGTTTCCCAGAAATAAATAGTAACTATACCTTTGAATTTAGGACAGTGGCTCACTTTTTTGTTGTTGGTTTGTTTTTAATTTTGTTTTGTTTCTCTGTGGTTTCTTAAAAAGCACTTGTGTATTGCAGGTCATCAGTATCTCTTGAACATGTGTGTGTCTTGTGTGTATGTATACCTACACATGTAGATGTTGGTATGAATCCTTGTCTGTGCTGTACTATAAGTCAAATTTGAAATACCAGAACTATTGCTGGAAGCTGTTATGAGGTAGATAGTACCGGCTGTATAAAGTTACGACTCCCTTAAAACTTTTCACCAAGTACTGGTGCTTTATGTCTACCTTCTATATGACTTCTGGGGAGTGGGAGAATTTCTGGTATGAGAAGAGATCAGGGGAGACTATTGGGAAGGTGTAATTTGAGCTCAGTTTTTTAAAGAAGGGTAGAATTTCAAAAGGTAGGGATGTGGGGAGGGGATTGGGGTGGTATTATAAAGATAGACTAGCATGGGCAAAGACAGAGATAAGAAAATACTAAGCATGTTTAGAGAACATTAAGTTTGTCTAGGGAATGTGATTGACAAAAAGAACCTCATACATAAAACTAGAAAGAATTTAGAATACTTTTAACATACTTTTTCTCTTATTTCATTTGAATCTTTCTCTTGTGATTCTCAGCTTATTATTTTCTATTTGAAGAAAGTAATATACAAGGCTGGGCATAGTGGCTTACTCCTGTAATCCCAGCACTTTGGGAGGCTGAGGCAGGTAGATTGTTTGAGTCCAGGAGTTCGAGAGCAGCCTGGGCAACGTGGCAAAACCCCATCCATACAAAAATTAGCCAGGCTTGATGGCATGCACCTGTAGTCCCAGCTTCTCAGGAGGCTGAGGTGGGAGGATCACTGCGCCACTGCACTCCAGCCCGGGCAACAGATCACCCCTGTCTCAAAGAAAAAAAGTTTTAAGTAATGTACAAATAAACTTCAGCTTAGCCCATTTCAGCTTAGCCCATTTTAAAGTGTAACAAATTTCTCCTTACAGGAACCAAACTAATGAGACAAGTTTTTCTCTTTTTTTAAATCTTTAGGCATTCTGAAATCCTTTATAACAAACAATAAGCATACGTGCCGAATTGCTGGCTTTTTCCATCTTAAAAAGATAATTTTTAGTGAACAAAAAGAAATGTAATGTTGAGCAGATGAATTGACATCAAAATAATTTGACCTGTAAAGGAAAGAGAAACATTTTCTTGCTTGTCATTATTAATGCAATAGGGTACACTAATACGAGTAGTGCTTTGTTCAAGCCCAATAAGATCTTTCGTTGCTCAATACTGTATTTTCCTGATCTATACTTGAAAGCTTGGGTGGAATGAAGTTTTAACTCATTCACTTGTCTGATTTTTCTACCTGGAAAGCTCTTATTTATATAGTAGGTTGTTCTCCCTTAAAGGATAGTTAGTTACTTATTTGATTTAAGCAACATAGCAGCATACACATTACATAGAAGAACTCAAGATAATCTGTTGTCCTTAAATAGTGTTCTTCCTTACAGGATATGTTGAACATTAAAAAACAGACTTTGAACTTTAATTCCTAGAATATATGAAATGGACATGGAGAAAAAGATCACCTGCTAGCTTAGGTGTGCCTTAGGGAACCTACCATTTGAAATGAAATCTCTAGGGAAATGTGTCTTCAGCCCTTTATGCTACTTAGTAAGTGAGGCTGGGAATCCTTCTGCTTAGCCTGGATGAATAACATGTCTGCTGGAACACAGCCCTCTGTGAGTCCACTTTCAGGTGAAATGAAAATATATTTTGTTTATTCTTACTTATCTTTTGAATTAGATCTTCTAATTAAATCTTCTCGTTCTGGGGCAGTTGTAAAAATCACTACTTTGTATTGCTTTCATTTTGTGTCAGTCCCTACTAGGCATTTGGAATTCATTATCACAAACATTCTTGTCTAACCTATGTGGAGGCTTTATGATTTCCGTTTTACAGCCAAGGAGAGACCCAGACAGGCTCAGTATCTTCGCCCGTGTTGCCAAATTGCTATCCAGTAGCAGAGCCAGGGCTTCCTATCTATGTCTGATTCCTGAATGTCAAAGCAGTACCACCTTCCTAGGTGCTAATGATCATTCACAAAGCATCTTACCTGTGAAAAAAACACTATTGGGATTATACCTTTCCTCCTAGTGCTGTGTGAAGGGCGAAATGTGTGCAGAACTGGTAGTCTTTGGAAAGGGTGGATAGTGGCAGTTATTATTTTCTAATGCAAGAAATTTTATCTAGTAAACAGTTATAAGTTTTGAGTAGAAAATTTAGCAATGTAAGTTACAAAATATTTAAATATAAGAAATTTTCATTTGATATGCCAATTGTTTACATCAGAAAAATTAGTTTGATTTCCTTATGTCCTACCT